TCTCTCTGTCAAATAAATAAATAAAATCTTAAAAAAAAAAGGAAATTAGTTTTCTAAACGCCTTTTAAAAAAATCAACCCATTCATTGATTTACTTCTCTAACAAGCCTTCAGTCAGAAAAATAAGGGAAAATGAATCCAGAATTTCCCAAATTTGAAGTGTAATGCACATAGCTTGAAAGAAGAAAGAGTTAACAGAAATAACTTTAATTCTTTAATTCAGGTCCTAAGACTCAATTCTCTTCATGTCTCACACCAGAGACTCTGTTGCACCTTAGCAGAAGACTCCAAACAGTGGTATTTACATATTTTGAGCTAAAAGATCACCAATTTTATACACTTCAAGTAAGCATGGACTTTGAAAAGTTCATGATTCATATAACCTATCAGCGAATAATTTGACTTTTGCCTCTTCAAAATGCTGCTTAACAGTCAAGCTAATTTTATATGTTGAAATGCATAATGGGCAAGTGCATGTCATAATTTGAAAATAGTTTTATGACTTGGGGTGCCTGGGTGGCTCAGTCGGTTAAGTATCTGCCTTCGGTTCAGGTCATGATCCCAGGGTCCTGGGATCGAGTCCCGCATTGGGCTCCCTGCTCAGCAGGGAGTCTGCTTCTCCCTGTCCCTCTGCCTCTCCACTCTGCTCATGCTCTGTCTCTCTCTCTCTTTCAAATAGATAAATAAAATCTTCTAAAAAAATAAGAAAATAAAATAGTTTTATGACTTAACTGATAATTTTCTTGTGTGTGAATTTTTTAGTCTGAAATTTTCTTTCTCTGAAAATTTTAGTCTGACTGAAAACTCAACACTAGTATTTATTCTAACTTTTCCAGACCACCAATTTTGGCATTACTATGAAATATGTTATAAGACTTTGGTTCTGGCTTTATATTTAGCTTCTTTTATTTAGTTGGCTTAAATGACTACATTAGTTGTTAACAATGAAACTTAATTCATATCGGGTGAGCTAGGGACTACATCTGGGACCTGTTACGACCTGATGTTGCATGGGTTTATTTCAACAAGGAGAGGAAAAACATTTTAACCCCAGCTCTGATTCAGAAATGATTCTGAATTCAGTTATTCTGCAACATTTGGACCTTGTCCATGTATCAGTTATTACAAATCTTCCTCCCACATCTTGCCTTCCCAGTTGGAAATAAGCAAAATGTGTTTTTATCAGTCTCTAAGTATTTAAATTTGCATATGGCACTCCAAAGCATTTTGCTTTGCATTTGCAAACTTCGGCTTCATTAAATTTTTTTTTTTTTTTCAAATCATGCGTCTTCTTGTGAAGAATTACACGGAGCACATTTTGTTGTTAATAGTCATTTAAATTATTTACTGGCTTTTTTTTTTTTTTTCAGTTCCCTGGAAAACACAGAGGGTGTTCTCACAATTTGTCTGGCTTGTCTTTGGAAAATCATGTTGGAATGTGAATCCAAAGCATCAAAATTTGTGAAAGCAGAGTGTTATCCCAAAAGTGTCAAGCAGCCAAATGGTACCAGTTTCAACAGTGATGCCAGAGTGTTTTTCAGAAAGACAGTTTTTGTTTAAATTCCTGCTTTTTGTCCAGCATCTATAGTTGGTCTATTTGTCCCAGACAAAGACAAAGGGCCAGCAGCACCTGAAACTTTTATCTTTCACTTCCTTTGGAAAGTCACTTGACATTCTGCTGCAATATTTTAATTTTATTGTATTATTTATTTATTTTATTAAGTCTCTTATTGATCAGACATCATTGAAGGAAGATTTGTATTTTGTAAAATATTACATATATTTTAGACAAATAATATAATACCTTTTAAATTTATGTATAAACACACATCTAAAAGATCAAAGACTGCTTTAGGTTGATTATTATTTGTCATTTGTTCACTCATTCATATATATATTTATCAAGCATATACAAGGTAGTTGCTAGATTTTATGAAGGAGTATAAAGAGGAATCAGACCTAAATCTAATCTCATTCCCCTCTATAAAAATTATTGAAAAACATAAAGATATAATATTAAGTAGATAGCTAAATAAGAAAGGGAGGGAGGAAGAAGGGAGGATGTGTGGAGGGAAAGAGAGAGAGAGCAAGAGAGAATAGGAGTGATAAAAACAAATGTGGCAAAACCCTAACAATTGCTGAATTCTGGATAATGAATTTAAAGGAGTTCTTTGCACTATTCTTATAACTTTTCTGTATGTTAGATATTATATAAAACAGAAATTTATTGAGTGTTCTGGGAAAAAAAAGTAGATGAAACATGTAAGGGACTGAGGTTTGGGATGTCTAGAGGCCTCCTCAATGACAGGAATTGCACCTCAAATCTCATTTATCTCCCTACTATTTCTACAATACTCTTTCAGCTTGGGAGACACTTAATTAATATATAAAAAGAGGTGCTTATTTTTTTCTTTGGAATCTCAATTTTCAGGCCAAATTTCTTCAGGTTAAGCCATAAAACTATTGCAAACTGCACATACAATACATAAGAGAACACATGCAAGAGACAACTTTGTACATGGTTGTGCAGGAGCCTCAGCGACCGGAAAGCAGTGGATTTGGACGAATCTCTTGGTCTCTTTTGCTGTCTACTATTAATTTAAAACTATCCCCACTCTTAAACTATAGCCAGGTGAAGCTGGAGTTTTAGCTTTCTCATCTTTATACATCCAGCAGAGACCTTTGCGGGTAGTAAGTCCTCAATTCTTGTTTGTTGGCATATGAATGAAGAAATACAAGCGGAAACATTTTTGTGCCAAACATCTTCAGATTGATTTCTCTTATTTTGTTTCTCACACCAAGGCTCCGCTGATCTTCATGAGGCCCAGTTATCCCACAGTGTAAAATTTGACATAGTTGATTCTTTACGACAGCCTTTCTAATTAGAACTGCAATGTGCAAACTGTATTTAGGAAAAGGTGTGCACGGATTTGTCAAAAGGAAAGTAGATTGCAAAGCTGGAGAATACTAATGGTCAGCTTATATATTTAGCCTGTGGTTAAATAATATCTTTTCTTGTGTCTCTTTAAAATCAAAAGCCCTATATTATGTATATGTTTTTCAAATGACATTTGAGTAAAAATGTAAAAGGCCTCTAAAGAGATGAAGGGCATTTCTGGACTTGGAGAGAGCTCTCAGGTTTGATAATAACATTTTGAGTAATCTAAATTCATACCTATTATCACTTAAGTCAACACTGATGCTGCCACTGGATCTTATACAAATATTCAGATTTTTGTTTCCCTCGTCATTCTGAAGGTTATCTCCCTGGTTGCTCTGAAAAATCAGGTGACAACCATTTCCCATGATGCTTTAAGGGCTGTCAAACTGTCCATCAAGCTGTCACCTGACCAATCGTTCCCATGGTTCTTTTAGACTTCCAGTATGATAAATTGAAAGGCACTATTATCTGTCTGTTGTGAAGAGGAACTGTTGGGGCTTTGATAAGATATCACTACTCCCAGGTGAGAGGCGGCTGACAGCACATCAAGGCAAAACAACACGTAGAAACACTGAACAGGGGAGCACGGGTTTACAAACATCTGTTGTCATTATTTATTACTTTTCTTTGGGCTTAAGTTTCTGACTCATCCTCAGATAATTCAAGAACAGATATTTTGCTTTCTAGCCTGCAAATAACAATTGCTGCTCTTTTCATCTTGGGAGAAAAATCTTAAAATTGAAAACACATCTGCCTACCTTTTGGATTCATGGCACACAAGTGTTCTACCTTGTAACCAACAAGTTCTGTGTTCCTGCTGATGTCATCATTTACCTTTTTTAAAAAAGTATTTGAGAATAACTACTTTTTAACTATAATAAATAGTTGGATTTGGGAGGCTAAATAATAAAATTAATTACCTAGGTCTTGGAGGTCATTATTAATGTACCAATACACAAACAATATGAACTAGTTTAAGTGCCAGCACATATTAGTTAATCTGTATTTTAGTATTGATGATAAGGTGAATAAGTCCAACATTTCATGAGAAATAAGGTTTGTGATTTATTATTACCAGCTTCACCTTTTAACTTTTCTGAATGATGCTAACATAAATCTAAAAGCTTGAATTTATACATAAGAGCCATGAATAGAGGAAAGGACATTGCCCTCAATGGATCAATCCCATCGCCAGGATTGGGATCAGGAAAACTGTAAAGGCAGGGGGAGGTTGTGAGGTAAAGGCTTTCTGAAGAAATCTTTCTGGGAAGTGGGAATAGTCTATTAGAGCTTCAGAAACAATTTTACATTTGGGATTTAATCTTTGGGTTTAAATATCCAAAAAGTTGCCAACAGAAACTGGATACTCGAATCCTTACTACATGTAAATGTAATTTTATTCTTTAGAAGTTACTCTCTTTTTTGTGATTTTTCCTTTTTTTCTTTCCCTGTTACTTAAATGACATATGATGACAGGTTTTCTATGTGCTCTGTGCCCTCACATACTATCATTACATGAATACTGAACAGACCCTTTGGAGATCACTGAAGGAAGATAATCTGTTGTTATTTATTGTGGAATAAAAGTACTGTAGTTGGTTGCTAACATCACCACCTTGTGTACAAATATTTTTTTGCATGCAGTTTCCTAATGTCATTAAGCAGTATTGTAATGTCATTACATAGTAATGTAGCACTTCGATTAGAGGCAGCATTTAAATAATTTTGTAATTCAAAATCTGAAAAAATAAACTATGGTTTATTTTTAGTCCTTTGTAATTATTTAACCACCTAACATTCTTCTTCACTCATATAAGAAGCAAACAGGCCCCAAAGTCTTCAAGAACTGAGAATTTGTCAAACTATTCTCTAAAACAGTGGCCAAGGAATTCAGAGTAAAAAGGAAAAGAAAGAATTAAATTTCCTGAATATTCATAATAATACCAACAGTACATGCATCCAATGCCTTCAATATCTATCGGTGAAACTAATTTCAACAATTTTTCCCCCTAAGCATTTTTAGTTCACCCAATAGGCCAATATTGGAAATTATTACTTACTTGAAAGTATCATTTTGGTCTCTATCCAAAGATGAGGGGAACCTCTTGATGAGGTTCTGAATATCAAAATTCTTTTTCTAGTGGCTTCTGGCATGTCAGGATCCCATAGCAAATTTTTAAATTTTCAACAGTCCTTGCAGATCAATGAAGTTAAGTTGACTTTTCCAAAAGGACATACCTTGTGGTCTAACGAAGGAGGTAGTGGCTAGAGAGGAAAAGACCAGAATATTCAATAAATTCAGTGCAGGTCTCAAAGGAGACAAACAAACGTGCTCCCTGTTAGTCTCTCTCTCACAAGACTTCCAACAGATTTCTAGAAAAAAACTATTTCACATTTGGATTTTAGTGTTACTTCCTTCATAGTTTCTCAATCTCTCTTTCTCTATCTCTAAGTGACTTTTTATTATAATTTCTTACTTCACGTAGTAGCTAAATAAGAGTTGTTGTAAGTTGCTGAAAGTAACATCTAGTGCTTCTTTCACTTCTAGAGTTTTCCTATATAGTTTGATTATACAGCAAAAACTTTAAAATGCTGGGGCACCTGGGTGACTCAGTCCCTTAAGCTGCTGCCTTCCGCTCAGGTCATGATCTCAGGGTCCTGGGATCGAGACCCACGTGGGGCTCCCTGCTCAGTGGGGAGTCTGCTTCTCCCTCTGCCTCTCCAGCCCCCTGACTCATGCTCCCACACATGTGCACGTGCACTCTCTTTGTCAAATAAATAAATAAAATCTTTAAAAAAACTTTAAAACTGAACATAATATAAAAAAATAGCTCAAAAGCAAAAAAACCCCCAAATAACCAAACAAAAAATGTTCCTAAAGATCCAAGGCAAAATATAACAATCTGAATTTGGTGTGCATATGTGTCTTCCTGTCTGCCTGTGAGAAACTTGGCTATTTTCAAATGGAAGTTCACTTGACAAGCATAAGAAATCCTGCCATATTAACTAACGACTAGTTTAGTTTTCTTCTAATTTTGACTTTAATAGGCTCTTCTAACAAGAGACTAAGAAAATCTTGAAAAGGTAGATAGCTTCGACCAGATGAATTTGGGGGTATTTTTATAATGATAATTTTTCTGATTAATTTAGCAGCAAAATCACAAAGTAAGGCTAGATTTTAATTCCTCTTATTATAAAAACTTCTTGTCAAAACTTTTAGCTTTGTTTCTGACTAATGATACATGAGAGGGCTATTAAAAGGAGGTGGATTTGCTCAAGATTATTTCTCGTGATTTTTTTCTAGACTACAGTCGTATTAACACTGTATTCATTGACAATCTCATGGTTTCCAAAATCCAAAAATGACTTCTTTTGTGTCAACAACTACACTATGAGGTAGGTAGGGAAGGTACCCAAGTTCATAGATGACCAAACTGAGGGTCAGAGGCATGACAGGGAAATGCTCACAATCATATAGATGTTAGTAGCAGAGCCAGCAAAGAACTCAGGTTTTCTGATTCTTAGTTCAATGTTATATCCTCTACCCTCACACTGCTCTTGTCTTGTCCCCAAAGATACTTTAAAAATGTAGATATTGGAAGTTAAGTCCATTTTGGTAGGTGTTTCCCCATGTCTGGTGGAAGTTTCACAATGTAGAATTCTAATGCTGGAAAGTCACGTGGTGCTATACTGTCAAACAGGAAGTAGGGTTCCTGCTTACTTACTCCTAATGTTTTTAGAATCAAACACAGTCATTATGGTAGGCTGTTTCATTTAGCTCTGACAATAAGCAAATGTGTGCACATTTATATGCATGGTAAATATGCAGAACTTGTGAGATATCTAATGATTTTAAAAAACACAAAATAAATTTTTAAGAAATGTTCCTAAAAGGAATAAAAATCCATAGACACTTTCTGATTTTACTGAATATTAAACAAATGTTTCAAGCATTGATGCTTCAAAGAGGCCCAACCACTAATGATCTTTAAAGGGAGAAAATGAACTTGCAAAAGCTTCAGATGTTTGGATGTTTTCCTTTTATGTTGTATCTACTTAGGTCAAGCAGTGTGAATTGAATGAAACTGAACTGAACAAAACTCTAATGTAAAACTGAGATTCATTAAACTGTTCACCTTTTTTGACTGGTGACTTGTAAATGTAAAAAGCTGCAACAGAAATGAAAGACATGGTTTCCATATTTTAATAAAGGTGATTTTTTGAGACTACAAAAATAGAGTAAAATAGCATGTATATTTCTTACATCTCATTTTAATTTTTTAACTTATGCAGAAGAATAAACCAATACTACTTGTGGAAATCAATTAACAATTTCTTATTTTCCCCAAAAGATTCAGATAATGAAACAGATATCTGAAGGACAAAATGCAGCTAAGTGGTCTCTTTGGCAAGCACTCGAACTCACTTCTATGCTTGAGACATTAAGAAAATGTCACTTGAATAAAGATGAAATTGACCAAACCCATCACTACCTAGGAAAGGAAGAAATAAACAGTGGAATTGATCTAAGCTAACTTTGTATCCCAAATTCAAAATCATAACAATAAAGTTCTTTACATGCAACTCTGTGAACTGAAAAAAGGGGCTGTCTAATTTCTTCCCATGCATCAAGCTAAAGAAATGAAGGGAGAAAATCATTCTTCTCTGTTGGCCTCCTGTGTGAAATTTCTTTTCTTATCATCCCATCTCGTCATATCTTTCTGCAGTTTGAATTACCCTCTTTTCCTCAGACTGGTAAGGCAGTGAAAGGATGTTTGTTCTGCTAATTAACTTTATTACCCTGATAACTCCCTGCAGCCTTTTACGAAAACAATTACCGTTACTCCTTTTTTCCCCCTACTGGCAAAAAAAAAAAAAGGAAAAAAAAGGAAAAAGAAAAAAAAAAGACTATTAATTAGAAGCGAGGCCCAGGTCTCTGCCATGTTATCCTGCCACGTTCCCAGGCCCTCGAGCAGGATAGCATTACATTGTCAGTAGTAATTTAGCTCTCATCTGTCTCTGCTAATTATTGTCACATTCATCAAATTCATCAACAAAAGTGCTCTCAGAAGGATTGCATATTTGCAGTTAATACAGCATAAACTGGTATTACCCATCACCACATTTGTGATGATGAGAGGGACACAACTTATTCATCCCTAATTAGAGCAAGCTGGGTAATTAATTATGCATTCCGCCTTATTACTTCTGAGTTCCCAGATATTGTTTGTCTAAAAAGGGGGAGAAAGCAGGAGAGAGAAGCCTGAAAATGCAAAAAAAAAAAAAAAAAAAGGGTGATGTGTTTTGTCACATGCGCTATGCCATAATTCCCACCTGACAAACTAGCTGAATCAGTGGAAAATTGCGAGTTGTCAGCAGTAGAATAAACTGCCGTAATAGCTGATTAATGATCAGCACCTGTGACAGGTGCTGTACGGGACTGTAAACTTGGTTTGATTAACAGTCACTGGACGAATAAATATTAGTGACAGTCAGCGGAGAGCAAGTTTGCTTGTTTTCTTCCCTGTTAACAAATCGTACACATTAAAGTTAGTGATATTTCTGTCTGAGACACTCTATTTTTTTGTAGTTATCTGGCAACATTGGCAGTGAGTTATAATAGATGGTTTCTGTTCTGCTATTTTATTTCAGAACCAAAATTGTATTTTGACAAAATGACCTGTAGGGGTTTAAATCTACCAGGTGTGGAAGAAAAGACTAAAAAATGACAGGATTCACACTTGCTTTAATTTATGCTCACCTGCTAGTAATCTCTGTGTATGTATACACATATACACATCTATTCATTGTACCCATTTACATGTATGTAAATCACTATTAAGGAATGTTCATAACTAAAAAACACAGGCATACACTTAGGCTGTGTGGTGTTAACTTATGTAAAAAAATTTTTTAATTGATTTTTTTTTTCAGAGCAGAATATTTCCCCTAAAAACATTGGTAGTGTGAATTCTGCCAACTGTGTGTCTCAATTCCAAACTGAAGAGATCATCTTCCGAGGCAGATTCAAAACTTGCCAGCTTGATTGCTTTTTCCTGAATTGACTAGTTACAAACAGATTGGTCAGAAGGTGCTACCTCTTTGAGCTGATTGGTTTTTAACCAAGAGTCAAATTATGTGCATAGACAAGCAAAGTGTGAATGATGGGAAGAATCCATTCCCTCTCTCTTTCTCCTTTTCTTTCTGTCCTTTAGGTCATAATAAGGGAAGCCAGTTGACTTCACTGTAGTTTTGGCTTGTGTAGAGAATGGTTAGGATCCTTTTGGAATCCTAAAGATCTACTTTCAAACTTTGGTCCTGCTGACTAATTGTGTGAGTTTGGTTAAGTTACTTAATCTAATTGTTCAGTTTCCCAACATAAAATGGGAGCATTTTCAACCTATGGTACAGTGTTACTGTGGGGATTAAATGAGATAACTTGTGTGTAGTAAGTGCTTGCGTGTACCTAAGCACCCTAGCACAGTGCCTAGCATAGATAGTGCTCAGTAATTAACAAGTGAATTATTATTAACACAACCGCTTGAAATTTGAATAGTCAAGTTACCTTCAGTTTCTGTTTCGCATTATAAAATGTTTTAGGAACGACTAATTACCTTTTTTCCTTTGCACACTCTAAAATGAACAAAACAAAACTTAATGCTCACTTATCCCTGACTGAAAACTAAGATGAGTGATGTCCCTCAGTAGTAGATACCCCAAGGTGCTACTCTGAGTTATTTAGCTGTTTTTCAGCAGCACAAAAGTGGGACTTGATGGGGTAGGGCAGAGGCTAGAAGGCAGCCTGTTTCCCCCAAATCTCCATAAGAATGTTTTCAGAAACTTCTGGGGTGATGGTAGAGACAGATCTGTGTAATGTTTATTTAGCACACTCTCATATTTTGGTAGAATTGAAATAGTAAAACACCAAGCACCGAAAACAAAAATAAACATCAAAGCAAGTACATTTTGATAATTTAGTATATATTTATTTTGATATTAATCATCTAATGGAGAATGAAAATGACGAAAGAACACAGAAAGGCAGTATGGTACAATTATAGTTTTTGAAACAGTGTTGAGAAGTAATAAAACTGCCCTATTTCAGGGAGCCTGGGTGGCATAGTCGGTTAAGCGTCTGCCTTCGGCTCAGGTCATGATCCCAGAATCCTGGGATCAAGCCCCGCATCAGGCTTCCTGCTCCATGGGAAGTCTGCTTCTCCCTCTCCCACTCCCGCTGCTTGTGTTCCTGCTCTCG